CTCGGTGCTGGAGCTGCGCGCGCTGCAGACCCTCAGCCTGGGGGGCAACCAGCTGCAGACCATCCCGGCCGAGATCGAGAACTTGCGGAGGTGAGCGGGTCCCCGCCGACGGGAGGGGCCGCCGGGCGCGGGGCCTGGTCTGCGCCCGGTTTAGTTGTCCCGTAACCGCCTCGTTCCCTTTCCAGAGGTTCTCAACCTGTGGGTCGCGACCCCTTTGGGGGTCAAACGACCCTTTCACAGGGGTCGCCTAAGACCATCGGAAAACACATGTATAATTACATATTGTTTTTGTGATTAATCACTATGCTTTAATTATGTTCAATTTGTAACAATGAAATTAGGGGTCACCACAACATGAGGAACTGTATTAAAGGGTCGCGGCATTAGGAAGGTTGAGAACCGCTGCAACTCGTGGGCGGTGAGCACGGCCCCGCCAGCTCAGCGGATCTAGGAGGCGGCGTGGGGCCGCGTTTGGTGTGTGATATTTCCCCGAAGCAGATTTTCGAGGCCGTTTTTCTGTCTCTCTTGGCGTGATTCAGACGGATAGCTACTCAAACAAATGCTAATGTTGTCACTTTCTTGCTTTGTAATAGTCCTTGGCGGTTTTCCCCGCCTATAGACCAGCGGTTTTCAATCTTGTTCATCGCATGGCACGCATAAATTGATGACCAAAATTCTGCGGGACACCGAAAAATGTATTGTGGTGTTTTTTTCTGATCTGATAAGAAAAAACAATTTTTGATTCATTCACACCAGGCGGTTATTGTTGTGTTGGCTGTTACTTTGTTTGACAATCCGGGAAGAGAGGTCAGTGCCCCTGACTAAATAGTCAGGTATTGCATGTTTTTAAAATTCTGGCGGCACATCGGTTGAAAGTCGCTGCTATAGATCAAAGTTTGTGCCTTTTAGCCAGACATACACTGTACTCTGATCCTAACCTTGCTTTCTAGGACATTTACCGCTCCCTGGTCTCTAGTAACAGCAACGCCCAGGTCCCCTATGGCAGGGGGTGGAGGGTGGGGGGGCCGTGTTTTCAGGTCCCTAGTGGATACTGGAAACCTCAGATAGTACCTGGCCCTATTTATACCATGTATTTTTCAATATGCACCTACCTGTGATAAAGTTTAATTTGTAAGTTAGGCACAGTAAGAGATAAACAACATAATAAAAGGAACAACTATAACTACATACTTGAAATAAACATGAATGTAGTCTTTGCTCACGTCTTCCACCCACAGATTTAATGCCTTTTTCCTATTAATTAAGCACTTACAGGCACGGTGGTCATAACTTACACGTTTTGAGATGGGACAGAAAAACTAGCTCAGATTTCTGTTTTCTTCACAATTCCACAGATAGAAGAATCATCCCTACCTTAGTTTTTTAGCAAACTCAGCATACGATTTTTTTTTCTTTCCTCTAAGTAGAGAACTTTCACCTTTTTACTTGCAGGAAGTACTTTAAAGCTTTTCTTTGACATACCAGAATTGCCAGCATCACTACTCTTGCTCTTTGGAGCTATTACTAAGTAAAGTAAATGTGACTTGACAGTTGATCCGATTAACTGAGATGGCTAAGTGACTAATGAGTGGGTAGTGTATGCAGCGTGTATATGCTGGACAAAGGGATGATTCACAACCCAGGCGGGTAGAACAGGTTGTTACTAGATTTCATCACACTAGACAGAACAGTGCATAATTTAAAACTTATGAAGTGTTTACTTCTGGAATTTTCCATTGAATAATTTTGGGCCACACTTGACCACGGGTAACTGACACTGGGGAAACAAAACTGCAAATAAAAGGGAACTACTGTACTACTTGTGAAATTCAATGAGCCATGCATTTTACCTGCACCGATGGGCATATACTAAATATGCATAGAATGAATGCAGTAACTCTCTACATGGCCTTTTCCTTTTGCCTAAAATGTTGCCTGTACCTGGTAAATTTCTATTCATCCTTCAGAACCCACCACGAGAGTGATATCTTTGTTTTCTTAACTGCTTCATGAACCACAACTAATTTATGATCTATACTGTACTTCCTCTGTACCTCACTCATCCCACCATTGCATTTATCCTATTGATTATAATTCCTTGTATACAGGTCTGCCTTATTATTCAGCTAATGTATGTTGAATTAAATGCAAGGAAGAAGTAGAGACACAGGTAGGAAAAGTCCCTTAACTGTGCTGTGTAGGAGAGTAAGAAAATAGTGCAAGAACCAGTGGATTATCCAAAGTGAAAAAAAGTGTCTTTCATCTGAAAATATTTCACAGCTTTTATTTGAATTTTCTATAACAGAATGTTAAAGATGGGAGGGACCATAGAGCTAATTGTAGTGAAAAGAACATTGGCCTGAGAATAAGGTCTCTTGATGTCCCAGCCTTAGGCAAGTCACTTAATATATCCTCACTACAGCCTCCTAACCTGTAAAATGAGGCATTTGGACAAGATATGTCTTCATTTACTCATCATGGATATTTATTTAGTACCTACCATGTGTCAGGTGCTGGGGATACTGTGGTGAACATGATCCTGCCCTCCTGATCATGGAGTGTCTCCTGGAGCTAACACTACAAGAGACATTAAACCTCATTATTTAATTACAGTTGTAAGTTCTATGAAGACATACAGAGTGCCTTGAAATGAAATAACAGAGGGGCCTGCCTGACGTAGTTTGGTTCTTCAGCAAGTAACATTTGAACTGAATTTTTGAAGGAGTATGAATTAACTAGGAGAGGGTGGGGAGGGATCAGTCCAAGTTGAAGGAGCAGCACAGGTGAAAGCCCAGAGGCAAGAAGGACTGAAGATCAACATTTTGAAAGGAGGACATTGTATTAGAGCATAGTGAGAAAGTGGCCAAGAGGGAAGGTGGCAAATCCATTTGAGCCAGACCTCAGGCCATGTCATATATTGAAGTTTCTATTTTATTCTAAGTACACTGAGTTTTAAGCACATCTCTCTTGTTGCTGTGTAAGAATGGAGTGGGAGAGGGTGGAGAGATAAGAGATTTTGAGGGCTGGTTGGAAGGAGGATATTCTAGTAGAATTAGAGATGATAGTAGATTATACCAGAGTTATGCCATGAGAGATAAAAAGAAATAGAAGGGTTTAAGAGAAATTCAGATAAAAATTGACAGACCTTGGTTCCTTCTAATATTTGTGTTACATAATTTCAACCTCATTTAAGTTTTCTTAAAATACTAAGAAAAAACAAGAGCAAGTATTATTTCCATCACACAAGGAAAAGGGTAAGTAAAAATCCTATTTATTTGCTTGCTTACAATGCTGTGGGCCCTGTTATAAGTGTTTTAAATATGATTTTTAATTCTCACAATGACTCTGTGAGATGAGAAGAGGAAACAGAAGCTCTGAGATGTTAAGTCAATATTACAAAGCCAGTGAGTGGTGGAATTGGATTTGACCTCTGTGATCTCTCACTCCAAACCCATGAATATTCCACAGTCACAGAGTAGGGCTAGAACCTAGTTCTTTGATTTCTCATCTGTTGGATGTTAGGAAGATATCTATCCTTTTTAACAGCAATTTAAAAAGTATTGCAGAGTATATAATCCATGTGAAGGTCTCCTTTATCCCCAGCCTTCATTTCAGGAAAGAGTAACAGATATGGACAATTAGCTTAATTGGTATAATTAACCTCTTCAGATTTGTAGGGTGTCTTCATGTATGTTTTCTGTGCTTTGTTAATCTTTTATCCTAGTGACAAACTCTTTTGAAGAAATGGTTTCTGAAAGGTCAGTTTTGAAGTATCCTATCTAATAAAAGAGAAACATGGTAATTAGCCGTACATCCGCTACCCTTCCCATTGGCTAATCAGTGAGATATGCAAATTAACTGCCAGCCAAGATGGTGGCTGGCAGCCATGCACTGAAGCGAACAGGGAGGCTTGCTTGCTCCAGTGATGG